ATTTTCATTTTTTTTATCAGAGGATTAATTAGATGGGCAAGCTAGGGAAGAAAGCGAGGAAGTTTGCCAAGAAGAATCTTCCGTCAGTGCTTCGAGATCGCCGGAAGAAGAAAGCTTTATTCAAAAAGAGATATTCATCCAGTAAATATTTCTCTCTCCCTCTGTGTGTGTGTGTGTGTGTTCTTGAATGCCTTATTCATTAGTTTATCTTTAGTTTTTATTGCTGTATTTTTATTAGATTTAGGTTTTTATTTTGCAAGAAATGTCACAAGACCAAAATATGTGTAAGCAATTGTTATACAGGCTTAAATTGGGCACACTTCGAATGGTATATATTTACATCACAACTTTGTATTCGATAGATAGATGAGAAGTAATTGGGAAAGAAGAAGAACAGTGATGGGGTTGTTCAATCTGCTGCAATACAACTTGCTCTTATTTAATTGAAAGAGTTTCTTAAAGAATAATATTCTGATATTCCAAGTAAAGGATTTTTTCAAGTTTGCACAAGTACTCCAGAAATTTATATTCCTTTAAACTGAGCAGTGAGTGTAGAGGTGCTCTCAATTTGATAGCTCCAGTTCTTCTAGGGAACTCATGGTGTGCGAAAGGTTGTTAGGAAAGATTACACAAATGGTGAGAGTCGCCTGTTTTATCATTGGCTGTAACTTATTTGTATTTTATGTACTTACATCAAAAGCTTTACCAGATGGATCAACTTTGCTTCTCTGTTTTGACTTCCATGGACATCCTGCCACTATTTTAATTGTGCAAGTACATTTATTGATATTAGACATTCATATGAATATCTTTATGACCTTGAGTTCTTTAATTATTGTAGAAAATGTGCAGAGTAATGTTGAAGACCAAGCCAAAGTAATAGACCACTCTAATGAAAGGTGAATTTAGTTCATATTTTAAAGTTGGATACACACTGTTTTTTTCTAAGACTTGATATTTTTGTCCTCTTTTGCTGTTTCATCTTCTACTTGTGGCTTCATTTACTCTTAAATTGAAAACTGATGCTAATCAGTTACCACATTTAGATTTGTAGTAAATGTTGGACTTGATTGTCCAATCTAGGTGAAACAGGGAGGGGATTGTTTTTCCTGCAATGGCATACAGTAAAAGAGCTGAGATCAACTGCTGTAAATCTATTTTTTCAGCTAGATAGGTCACATAGATTATAAAGACTAATACTTTCGATGATATAGTCTGATGTCATCAGGCTGAACACTCTTTACAGCAATTGATTTCATTGGACATCTCATTGCAATTGAACACCTTATGTTTTTGTAGACCGATCATTTGTAC